CCCTGACACTCACAGCACCCTCACTCACACACTACACGTCTGACACTCACAGCACACACAAAATGCACCCCTAACACTCACAGCACCCTCACACACACACATTGCACCCCTGACACGCACAGCACACACACTGCACCCCTGACACTCACAGCACCCTCACACACACACACTGCACCCCTGACATGCACATCACACACCCTCACTTACACACACTGCACCCCTGACACTCACAGCTTCCTCACATGCACATAGCACCCTCATGCAAACACAGCACCCACTCACACACAGCACACACACACTGCACCCATCACACACACAGCACCCTTACCCACATAGCACCCTCACGCAAACGCAGCACCTATCACTCACACACACTGCACCCCTCTCTCACACACACTACACCCCTTACACACACACACACACACACACACAGAGCACCCTCACACACACTGCGCAATATGTTTTCCTGGCATTTTTGTCTCCTGGTATCCCAACTATGGAGACACCAGAGACAAATTTCAAGCAAACACAGTGCAAGCATGTTATTAAATTTGCTTGCGCTGTGGAGAACAAATACAGGGTATTTTTCTCATGCCAGAGCTCTTCAGCAGAGCTCTGCACATGGTCTACCCTGGAAGAGCATTGAACCAACATGCTCACTTTGTGATGGGGCGTGCTTGTCATTGGTGATGACAAAACACACCCTATCTGGCCCCACCCCCTTTTTAGTGGGCCGCTGTAATTAAAAAATGCCCGGGCCGAATTTTCTTCCCAGTCCGGCCCTGGTGCAGAATGTTGTGTGAGTGATACAGTGTGTGTGATACAGTGTATGCAGAATGTTGTGTGAGTTCTACAGTGTGTGCAGAATGTTGTGTGAGTGATACAGTGTGTGCAGAATGTTGTGTGAGTGATACAGTGTGTGCAGAATGTTGTGTGAGTGATACAGTGTGAGTGATACAGTGTATGCAGAATGTTGTGTGAGTGATAGTGTGTGCAGAATGTTGTGTGAGTTCTACAGTGTGTGCAGAATGTTGTGTGAGTGATACAGTGTGTGCAGAATGTTGTGTGAGTGATAGTGTGTGCAGAATGTTGTGTGAGTTCTACAGTGTGTGCAGAATGTTGTGTGAGTGATACAGTGTGTGCAGAATGTTGTGTGAGTGATACAGTGTGTGTGATATAGTGTGTGTAGATTGTTGTGTGAGTGATACAGTGTGTGATACAGAGTGTGTGCAGAATGTTGTGTGAGTGATAAAGTGTGCAGAATGTTGTGTGTGTGATACAGTGTGTGCAGAATGTTGTGTGTGTGATACAGTGTGTGTGATACAGTGTGTGTGCAGAATGTTGTGTGAGTGATACAGTGTGTGCAGAATGTTGTGTGTGTGATACAGTGTGTGTGATACAGTGTGTGCAGCATATTGTGTGAGTGATACAGTGTGTGCGGGATGTTGGGAAAGTGTGTGTGCAGAATGTTGTGTAAAAGTTGTACAGTGTGTGATGGCAGTGCAAAAGTAGAACAGTGTGTTGTACAGTGTGTGTGATACAGTGTGTGCAGAATGTTGTGTGAGTGATACAGTGTGTGCAGAATGTTGTGTGAGTGATACAGTGTGAGTGATACAGAGTGTGTGCAGAATGTTGTGTGAGTGATACAGTGTGTGCAGAATGTTGTGTGTGTGATAGTGTGTGCAGAATGTTGTGTGTGTGATACAGTGTGTGCAGAATGTTGTGTGAGTGATACAGTGTGTGCAGAATGTTGTGTGTGTGATACAGTGTGAGTGATACAGAGTGTGTGCAGAATGTTGTGTGAGTGATACAGTGTGAGTGATACAGTGTGTGCAGAATGTTGTGTGAGTGATACAGTGTGTGCAGAATGTTGTGTGTGTGATACAGTGTATGTGCAGAATGTGTGAGTAATACAGTGTGTGATACAGTGTGTGCAGAATGTTGTGTGAGTGATACAGTGTGTGTGATACAGTGTGTGCAGAATGTTGTGTGAGTGATACAGTGTGTGCAGAATGTTGTGTGAGTGATACAGTGTGTGCAGAATGTTGTGTGTGTGATACAGAGTGTGTGCAGAATGTTGTGTGAGTGATACAGTGTGAGTGATACAGAGTGTGTGCAGAATGTTGTGTGTGTGATACAGTGTGTGCAGAATGTTGTGTGTGATCAGTTATGGTGATGCAGATGCAGTGTCGGTGCTGCAGTCAGTAAAGGGTTAAGGATGCTGTAGCCCCCCCCCCCCATTCCAGGTAGTGACATCACACAGGATAGTATGGGCAGAGCAACCTCAGCATCTACCCAGCTCTGCTCTGCACAGCTCTGCACACACACAGGGCCAGCTCTGCTCTGCACAGCTCTGCACACACACAGGGCCAGCTCTGCACACACAGGGCCAGCTCTGCTCTGCACAGCTCTGCACACACACAGGGCTAGCTCTGCTCTGCACAGCTCTGCACACACACAGGGCCAGCTCTGCACACACACAGGGCCAGCTCTGCTCTGCACAGCTCTGCACACACACAGGGCCAGCTCTGCTCTGCACAGCTCTGCACACACATAGGGCCAGCTCTGCACACACACAGGGCCAGCTCTGCTCTGCAAGAGTGACAGTGTCTGTTCTGCAAGGCCTGCAGAGCATATCTCCCTGCACTGAGGGGAGTAGCATTACATCTATAGGTAGAGCAGGCAGAGCATCTCACCCAAATCAGATCATTATTCTGCATCCTGACATACAGAGCATTCAGACCCAGGAGCAGAGCATCTTGCCCTAGTTACCCCCAGGAGCAGAGCATCTTGCCCTAGTTACCCCCAGGAGCAGAGCATCTTGCCCTAGTGACCCCCAGGAGCAGAGCATCTTGCCCTAGTTACCCCCCAGGAGCAGAGCATATTGCCCTAGTGACCCCCAGGAGCAGCCTGGAATAAAGGATCCGGGGTATAAATCTACCCCATGACTGGGACCAAGCTGTTAGCGCATGGAATACAAGACTGGGGGGCTGTGTGACCCCCCAAACTGCACAGGGGGACAAGAGGTAAGTTCACACCCAGGAACAGTCATGTACTCACTGTCTCTTTACCTCTCACTGGCATGGTGGCTGTCCCTGTTTATCTCAATCTGTCTCTCACACCCTGTCTCTCTATGTCTGTCTGTCTGTCTGTCTGTCTCTCTCTCTGTCTCTCACACCCTGTCTCTCTATGTCTGTCTGTCTCTCTCTCTGTCTCTCACACCCTGTCTCTCTATGTCTGTCTCTCTGTCTGTCTCTCTCTCTGTCTCTCACACCCTGTCTCTCTATGTCTGTCTGTCTCTCTCTCTGTCTCTCACACCCTGTCTCTCTATGTCTGTCTCTCTGTCTGTCTCTCTCTCTGTCTCTCTCTCTGTATTGATATCCCAGTGTGACAGTATAGTCTCATTTCGTGGTATAAATGTGTGTGTGTGTGTGTGTATACCAATGTGTGTACTTACTGTGTAATACATGTGTGCATGGCAAGTACTTACAAAACCACTTATGCGTATATTTCTATTAGTGTCTGTTTACGTACTTTCCATAAGTGAATATACTCTAAACAAAGTATATCCTGTTGGGGGATACACTGTGTTCTGACAGCATCTGGTATTGGGGGATACACTGTATACTGACAGCAGCTGGTATTGGGGGATACACTATATACTGACAGCAGCTGGTATTGGGGGAAACACTATATACTGACAGCGTCCGGTATTGGGGGATACACTATATACTGACAGCAGCCGGTATTGGGGGATACACTGTATACTGACAGCAGCCGGTATTGGGGGAAACACTATATACTGACAGCAGCTGGTATTGGGGGAAACACTATATACTGACAGCGTCCGGTATTGGGGGATACACTATATACTGACAGCAGCCGGTATTGGGGGATACACTGTATACTGACAGCAGCCGGTATTGGGGGATACACTATATACTGACAGCAGCCGGTATTGGGGGATACACTATATACTGACAGCAGCTGGTATTGGGGGAAACACTATATACTGACAGCAGCGGTATTGGGGGATACACTATTATACTGACAGCAGCCGGTATTGGGGGATACACTGTATACTGACAGCAGCCGTATTGGGGAAACACTGTATACTGACAGCGTCCGGTATTGGGGATACACTGTATACTGACAGCAGCCGGTATTGGGGATACACTATATACTGACAGCAGCCGGTATTGGGGGATACACTGTATACTGACAGCAGCCGGTATTGGGGGATACACTGTATACTGACAGCAGCTGGTATTGGGGATACACTATATACCGACAGCAGCTGGTATTGGGGGATACACTATATACTGACAGCAGCCGGTATTGGGGGATACACTGTATACTGACAGCAGCCGGTATTGGGGGATACACTATATACTGACAGCAGCCGGTATTGGGGGATACACTATATACTGACAGCAGCTGGTATTGGGGGATACACTGTATACTGACAGCAGCCGGTATTGGGGGATACACTGTATACTGACAGCAGCCGGTATTGGGGGATACACTGTATACTGACAGCAGCTGGTATTGGGGGATACACTGTGTACTGACAGCAGCTGGTATTGGGGGATACACTATATACTGACAGCAGCCGGTATTGGGGGATACACTATATACTGACAGCAGCCGGTATTGGGGGATACACTATATACTGACAGCAGCTGGTATTGGGGGAAACACTATATACTGACAGCGTCCGGTATTGGGGGATACACTATATACTGACAGCAGCCGGTATTGGGGGATACACTGTATACTGACAGCAGCCGGTATTGGGGGAAACACTGTATACTGACAGCGTCCGGTATTGGGGGATACACTGTATACTGACAGCAGCCGGTATTGGGGGATACACTATATACTGACAGCAGCCGGTATTGGGGGATACACTGTATACTGACAGCAGCCGGTATTGGGGGATACACTGTATACTGACAGCAGCTGGTATTGGGGGATACACTATATACTGACAGCAGCTGGTATTGGGGGATACACTATATACTGACAGCAGCCGGTATTGGGGGATACACTGTATACTGACAGCAGCCGGTATTGTGGGATACACTGTATACTGACAGCGGCTGGTATTGGGGGATACACTGTATACTGACAGCGGCTGGTATTGGGGGATACACTGTATACTGACAGCGGCTGGTATTGGGGGATACACTGTATACTGACAGCAGCCGGTATTGGGGGATACACTGTGTACTGACAGCAGCCGGTATTGGGGGATACACTGTATACTGACAGCAGCCGGTATTGGGGGATACACTGTATACTGACAGCAGCTGGTATTGGGGGACTGTATACTGACAGCAGCGGTATTGGAAACTTACTGTATACTGACAGCGTCCGGTATTGGGAATACACTGTATACTGACAGCAGCGGTATTGGGATACACTATATATACTGACAGCAGCGGTATTGGGGATACACACTGTATACGGCAACGAAGCGGTATTGGGGGATACACTATATACTGACAGCAGCTGGTATTGGGGATACACTATATACTGACAGCGGCTGGTATTGGGGGATACACTGTATACTGACAGCAGCCGGTATTGGGGGATACACTGTATACTGACAGCGGCCGTTATTGGGGGATACACTGTATACTGACAGCGGCCGGTATTGGGGGATACACTGTATACTGACAGCAGCTGGTATTGAGGGATACACTGTATACTGACAGCGGCTGGTATTGGGGGATACACTGTATACTGACAGCAGCCGGTATTGGGGGATACACTGTGTACTGACAGCAGCCGGTATTGTGGGATACACTGTATACTGACAGCAGCCGGTATTGGGGGATACACTGTATACTGACAGCAGCTGGTATTGGGGGATACACTGTATACTGACAGCAGCAGGTATTGGGGGATACACTGTGTACTGACAGCAGCCGGTATTGGGGGATACACTATATACTGACAGCAGCCGGTATTGGGGGATACACTGTATACTGACAGCAGCTGGTATTGGGGGATACACTGTGTACTGACAGCAGCTGGTATTGGGGGATACACTATATACTGACAGCAGCCGGTATTGGGGGATACACTATATACTGACAGCAGCCGGTATTGGGGGATACACTATATACTGACAGCAGCCGGTATTGGGGGATACACTGTATACTGACAGCAGCCGGTATTGGGGGATACACTGTATACTGACAGCGGCCGGTATTGGGGGATACACTATATACTGACAGCAGCCGGTATTGGGGGATACACTATATACTGACAGCAGCTGGTATTGGGGGATACACTGTATACTGACAGCAGCCGGTATTGGGGGATACACTGTATACTGACAGCAGCCGGTATTGGGGGATACACTGTATACTGACAGCAGCCGGTATTGGGGGATACACTGTATACTGACAGCGGCTGGTATTGAGGGATACACTATATACTGGGGGCACTATATACTGACAGCAGCTGGTATTGGGGGATACACTGTATACTGACAGCGGCCGGTATTGGGGGATACACTGTATACTGACAGCAGCCGGTATTGGGGGATACACTGTATACTGACAGCGGCCGGTATTGGGGGATACACTGTATACTGACAGCAGCCGGTATTGGGGGATACACTGTATACTGACAGCAGCTGGTATTGGGGATTGTGAAGAAATCCCTCTGTAGCGGAGAGGTAGTATAATCCACAGTATCTCCGCTGGGTAACAGGAACAGCATAAAATAATCCAGGTAGCGTTATATAAATCCTTCCTTCCCAAGAACTAGACGACACATAGGCTGGGAGTCAACTGAGCTTTTAATCACAGGTCACCCAGATATTTCTCCCACCATGCACTGCTGTACGAGAGGGATACTCCCACTAGAATATACAGTAAAGTGGATTATCCCTCTGTGCAGCAGAACTGACATTTTACATTAAAATGCATCACTTCCCTTCCCAGCTATCTACCGAACGAATGGACGTTCGGTAGATAGCTGGGGTCTGAGCGCACAGTTCGTGAGAATACCGACCGCTCTGATCCCAGCATAACTAACCGAACACCGCACGAAACACACATTATTTTCAAGTCACATTTAAAGTACCAATTGGTATTAGGGGAACAAACTACCGAACGCCCGGGACTCCCGAACGGCCTGGAAGTCCAGCGGTATTCGTGCTGCCAAGTAGCCGATTTTAGTTCCAGGTGCTCGACGACCAAATACCGCTGGGCTTAACAAAGGAACCAAGATGGCCGACTGCGTGGTCAGTAGCCGAACGACGGCCACCTAGGAAAGCCCTTAACTACCTCCTGTGTGTGGTTGTCCATTCGGTAGTTAATTCGTTTCACGAACAGTGTTGAAACACACTGTTCGTGAAACTACAGTATGAATGCTGGGGATTTTCATGCCACCAGCATACGAATGCCCTTGTTCGCCTGAAATGTAGATACAGTAATATACTTGGTTCTAACGGCTTTAAAGGTATATAAACATATTCATACAGGTATAGTCTTAAGTGGCTAGTTTTGCCACTCCCTCTCTACGCACCCTAGTTCTCCCTTATTCATTCGGTAGATCTAACTACCGAACAAAGACCACTCCCTGGCTCATTAAGCTTCAAAGTATTCGTCAATTGACCCCTCTATCTGTGCGGCCAGCGTTCGTACTACCGAACGCCACATGGCTGAGAAAACCGCGGCCATCTTTTTTCAGCCGAACAAAGGCAGTGGGACTTTGTCATCGAGTGTCTGGAACTAAAATCGGACACTCGACTTCCCGAACACCGGTCTCCAACAGGCAAACGCTGGATCTATACTTCCCAAATAGCTAGAAGAGCGCTATTCGGTACTTTTGTGCATTCGACTGAGGGGGTACTTTTGTCCATTCGGTAGTTCATTCGTTTCACGAACAGTGTTGAAACGCACTGTTCGTGAAACTACAGTATGAATATTGGGGGTTTTCATGCCGCCAG